GTCTGTCCGCCCGCCCGGCGGGTTAGAGCCGTCGACTAACCGACAAACCCAGGCTCATTGGTAGTGGAGTCACTACTCCACTCCTCGCTTCCCTCCGCCTTGCTGCCTCTGTATCGGAGGGTGGGGGGTGTAGGAGCTGATGCTGGGGGGAGCCAGCTTAAAAGCCGGCAGGTGAGGCAGAGGCGCAGCGATCCAGGACCCAGCACAAGCTCGCGTTGGGTCCTGGACCTACCCCCGCTGTGTAACCGTACCGGACTCAAACCGGTGTAACAGAATGACACGGATGCCCGAAGGAGGATTTACCAGACCTTTATTAATCAGCGCTGATGGTCGTCCCCTCGAGCTTTACAGCAAAAATGGCGAGGAGCGACCCCGTGCCGCTCTGTGCATAGCCTTTTATCGGATACATGAATAACAGTTTGATTGGCTTTTACATTTCATTGGTTAAAGCACAGCAATACATTATTTCTAACGTTCACGATTGACATTCCAGTAACTGGGGAGGGGTACTCTTATCTTATGCCTATGTGCGGTTTTTTACTTTCTCATAGCTATTTCTGATTTCTGCCTGCTTGTGCCTGTCACAAGTTAGAAAATATGAAATACAGCTTCATTCTTGCTCACAAGCTAGTGGGCCCTCAATTGCTGTTAGGCTAGTTCCTTATCTTTTTCGGGCAAGGGGCAAATTCCACTACAGCTGTGGCTCTGCCTTTTAAACGTAGTCAAAGCTGCCCAGCTCTTTCTACTTTTAAAAGGCAGAGCCGCAGCAGGGGAGCTGCTGCAAACTGGGACTGTTGAGTCCCGGCTCACGCCGGGTCCCGAACCTGTACACCTCTGCTTTTTAAGTGTGGTAAGAATCCCCTGGCCAACAGTGGTCCAGGACCCGGTGCGAATTGGAACTGCTGCGACCCGACTCGTGCAGTGTCCTCTGCTGCGGCTCTGCCTTTTAAATGGCTCTTACTACGTTTAAGGTGCAGAGCCGTAGCAGGGCCCCTTATCGACTAATCGTGTAGTCGATACAAATTGTATTGAGTACATGATTAGTCAGTTACCCACTTCTAAACATCTTTACACTATCCACAATAATTTCAACATCTGTCTGGAGGGTTTATAGCTAAATTAGTTCCCATCATTTTATATGTATACTTGGATTTTTTTCCAATGTGCATTACTTTGTGTTTATCAACATTAAAATTCATTTGCCATTTTGTTGTCTAGTCACCTACTTTTGTGAGATCCATTTGAAACTCTTCACAGTCTACTTTGGTCTTAACTTTCTTCAGTTTAGTATCATCTGCAAATTTTGCCACCTCATTGTTTACCCCTTTGTCCAGATCATTTATAAATAGGTTGAATGGGATTGGTCCAGTATGGACCCTTGGGGGTCATCACTAGTTATGTCTCTCCCTTCTGAAAACTGACCATTTATTCCTATCCTTTCTTTCCTGTCTTTTAACCAGTTATCAGTCCATGAGAGGACCTTCCCTCTTATCCCATGACAATTGTTAGTCCCTGTGTTTGTCTGTTTCAGAAAAAATAATGAGGAGTCCTCTGATTTATTTGGGTATAAGCTTTCCTGGACTGGCACCCACTTTGTCAGATGCATGAAGTGGAAACTTCAGTTTGGCAAGGATATATACACATGCGAAGCGTGGGTGTATTCATCTTTCCAGAGGCTGCAAGGGAGCAGGAGTTGGCCAGTGAAAGAGTTAACGGTATTTTAACACTTTGGGTAATTTCATTCTTACTGCTGTCATAAAGCCAGAACTCTGTGCGACAGCCAAGATGATTGTGCAATCAACTCAGCTTCAGTCCGGGGAAGTTCTTCCATGCAGTTGGGGGACATATTGTGAAAGTCTATTGTGGCTGGCTTGTTTACAGAAGGCATGGACTCTTGAAGCCTGGTGCACTCAGATGCAAGTGAGCCAGGTGCATCCAGACAGGTATGGCCTAGTGAGTTTGGCATGAGCAAGGAGCCTTATTCCCTAGCTCCCATGTACGTGGTGGAGATCAGTCAGTTAACAACATGCCTTTGACAATCCAGGCTAGTTGTGAATAAAAACGCCTTACCTCATTTGGACAGAAACAGCCCCATGGGGGTAACAGTGCCACTCTTTCAGACTCAGAAGCCCTGGATTTGCAAAGCTAGGAAGATGTGATGCCTATAGGGATGGTGTCCTGTGCAGAACTCCTCCCAATGTCCCCTAGAGGATAGCTGGGGTGAGGCAGGATGGTGCAGTGGTTAGGGTCCTTTCTCACAGGTGTCAGCTGTCAGGGTGCAGTCCTTTTATCTGTCACCCCTCGTGGAGTGTTGGAACCTGCTGTCCACCTGCCTAGTCCCTGGGGGTTGGCCTTTCAGACACCCTGGCACTTAAACATCCCCTTCTCCCAGAGCGGCACCCAAACATGTGACACTTCTGTTGTACAGTGTAACTCCTTCAGAGGCAAGGTGGGAGTTGTGAACATTTAACACCCACACTTCTAGACAAGGCTTTGCTCTGGGTCTGACGGTGTTGTTCTTTACTTAACAGACAAAGCACAGTGAGCACAGATCCCATGGAAAATTAGAAAACATCCTAAACCCCACGCCTCTCACTAGCCCAGCCAGCAGCCCAGCGGGACCCTCTGCCTTGTCTGCCGTGGCCCCCTCATGCCACTTAAAATGACTGTCTCCCAGGGTCAACATGTGCGTCTCTGTGTGGTACATCCCTTGGGGCTCCATGTGCTGCAAGCTCCTGCAAATACAGCTCACAGTGTCTATGTGATAATGATATTAGGGGCGATAGACACTCATAGACATTATCTCATAGGCACTAACCTCCCCCTCTCATCTGCCCTCTGTTCTAAAATCTGATTTGTCAATTTTATATGTGTTCGCTTTTTTTGATTGTATCCTTTGGTATATATGGTCATGCCAATTTTCTTCCACAATTTGATCTGAGGCAGTGGGTCTGGCCCACGAAAGCTCATCACCTAATAAACCATCTTGTTAGTCTTTAAAGTGCTGCATAGTCCTGTCTTTTGTTTCATTAAGGCCAGACTAACACGGCTACATCTCAGTTACTATTCTCCTTGCAATAGTGGCTTGCAACTCCATTTTAATGGGATCACCAGGGCTGAAATCTGAGCTGCTTCAGCCCTGGGCTCAGGTGGGTTGAGACATCAGGTCCCCGCTTTGCGGTCATGTAATAATTTTTGTCATTTGGCATCATGGTGCAATGACCTTGGAGAGCCACTGCCATAAAGATTACCTGGAGTTTCACCTGAGTGTATTACTCCTGCCACTTTATCAGGTACTTTTGCTGCTGTGATAACATCTCTGGAGCAAAGATAACCAGAGCAGCTGGTTCTCTGGGTTTTTCTCACCCAGAGCTCAAAGGCAAGCAGGCCATCTTGCTTGCCACTGTGGGGCTGTAACCACTAGGCCACTGTGCCTCACATATTCCCCATTGTGTGACTGCAGCACATCCCTAGGATTCAAAGCAGTGATCCCCCAGCAGCTTGGGGAGAGGCAGGTTGCTCTGGTGCACAGGGGGCTGGCCTAAGCCACAGAAGGCCTGGGTTACATGTCAGCGTGTAAGTCAGGCATGTCCAAAGTCCGGCCCGCGGGCCAATTGCGGCCCGTGTTCCGGTTTAATACGGCCCCACAGGTAATTTGGCAATATCTATCTTTTGTGGCCCCCAACGAATCCATATGTATTGCGATGAATACATTGTAAAATCTCAGTTAATGTCAGTTGGTCTAAATCAGTTATAAATATATTTGGACACAACATGTATACTTGGTGTTATGTTCCTGTTCATATTTTTTGAACTTAAAAGTTGACAGACAACCTTTATTACCAATAATATGTAATGTACTTTACAATGTTCCTGACATATATTTCAGCTTCCTGGATTTTTTTTTCATCTGGCCTTCAGATATGAAAGGCAGAGTGATTTAACACCTGTTTAGATTTGTCATCCATGTGACGAAATGAAAAGTATGCTCTTTGCATAAAATATTTAATTTGCATTTAATTTTAATGGTTCAAAGAATGTCAGGCAAAATGGTCGGCCCTCACGCATGTTCACTTCATCAAATCTGGCCCTCTTTGAAAAAAGTTTGGACACCCCTGGTGTAAGTCAACCCCCCCTCTCCAACAGCAAGGATCTCTGGTCTGTACAGGGTATCTCAGGTCAATGCAAACGCAGGTTAAGCAGATTCCTCAGGTGAGAGGGTTAGTTACTGAAAGATTAGAAGGGAGAAGTTTGAACAAGTGGGTCTATGACTCCTTTATCTCACACAAGATACAGAGCCATGGAAAAGTGCAGTAGATAGGACTCTATAATAATCATTGGCCAAGGGTTGATCAGACAGCTGACCTTTGAAATGAAGAGCTGGATTGTCTTCTTCCACTGGGCTAGGCTTCCCCCCCGAACACACAGGGAGCTCTTTCTCTGTTACTACCTTGGAATTTAACAAGCGCTGATTAAAACAAAGCATTCACAGCTGTGCTATTATTAACTCTAGTGGTATATCCTGCTCTGCTAAGCAGTTGGAGAACGAACTTCTTTTGGCCTGGCCTTCCTGTAAGGTATGTTCCCCTGATGTTTTATTTTGTTTCTCTGTTCTGATGAAGGCTGGTTGGGGGGGTCTTCTGTCTAGAATTTAGGTGTAAATGTAATTCGCTTTGACTCTGCTTTTTATATACAGGAGATGGGTGCAATCTTGTTTCTGTGTTTTGGATGTGGAAAGTGTCAAGGCATATAAGGCTGTTGTAGGAAAAAGGTCCTTAATTTGTAGCTTCTGGGCTAATACCTGAAGATGGAGGAAATCAATGGAGAAAAATGGGAGGCTGACAAGTATTTTTTTTTATTTTTTAAAAAGGAGGGAGTAATATAATAGCATCGCTTTTAGGTTGTATACCATCTCCTGCATTCAAAGAGCTGTAGAAACTGTAGCTAAGGGGATGTAGAGATCAGTTTACCCAAGGCGAAAATAAATAGTTCTTACTTTCCTTTTAAAATTCCCAAGAACTTGTAATCGTTACAGCCTAACTTCTCGCTAGTGTGTAACTGACTAGTCTGGTTTCCTTGTCCCAACCTTACAAGATAACAGTAACCAGGCAGCACTAGGTGTAAGATAGTGACTTAATTTCCCTCCCCCACCCTCAGTTAAAGGGCTACCAGACTAGCTTACTGCTAAATTAGAACCGGCTAAGAGAAAAGTCACAAGAAGGGCTGAAGGACTGGAAAACCTTCCTCACCGAGAGAAAGCTGGTTAGTTTACCCAAGTGTAAGTTCCCAAGTACTTCCATGAGGAACAGAAATGTGATGATAGAGGTCCTTGATCTAGGAGAGAAAGGTCTAATAGCCCCCAATGGCTGGAAGATGAAGATCAGTTGGGACTGGAAATAGGTTTAGATTCACAACAGTGAGGGTAACTCACTCTTGGCACACTTTATCAAGGGCCGTGGTGGTCTCTGCATTGCAGGCCACTTGCAAATCCAGACAGGCTGTTTTTCTGAAAGGTTTGCTCTTGTTCTAGCAGGAATTAATTTGGGGCAGCTGGTCTGTTCTATGCAGCAGGTCAGACCACTAGAGGATCACAACAGTCCCTTCTGACCAAATGATTTATAAATCCTACTTCTCCCCCTGTGGCAATGGAGGGATTCCAGTCTTGTGCCCGGGTGGCATGCATCCAGAGAACACTGAGATGAGCTAGGCAGGGGTAATGCCACGGGAGGAAGGCATCCAGTGGGATTCGGGGCATGGCACTGATACCTGAAGGGTTTCTCCCTTAATGCAAAGGCTGGAGTATGTTGGAGCTGAAGGCTCTGGCATATAGACATGACCAGTGTTTCCTCTTAGGTGCGCTAAAACATTCTGAGCCCGCCCACCTCCTTTGCAGAGCTGCACATCAGCACTCCTGGACCTGGAGCGCGACGGAGGGGGGCGGTGCAGCAGCAGCCAAGCGTGCGAGGCATGCAAGCACATTCCCCCACTCCCTTAGCTTCCGGAGAACGGGATCAAAAGCAAGCCGCATCCCGGTGTGCACAACTGCAGTCTCTCCCCGTGCTCTGGGGGGAGGGAAGCAAAAGAAAAGGAAAAGTATGGATTAGGCCCACTGTGGTGGGTCCAGTCCTTACTTTTAAAAGTTTTCCACAGACCCCTGACCACAAGTTGGGAACCACTGCTGTAGGGGAACATTGTAACCTCCCTGGACATTCAATAATGGATTTAAAAATAGCCATCCTTCTACAAAGGAATTTTATCTCCCAGTTAATAGAGGGAGACAGCTGACCTGGAATTCATTTACATATTCAACACTATCAACTTGGGCCTGAATAAAGATATTAACTGGTTAACATGTAGGGTTGCCAGATGGTTTAAAAAAAATACCGAAAAACAATAACAAAAACCATGCCAGGAAAAAGTTTGTTGAGAAGAAAAAGAACCTTGAGAGTTGTTAAGCAACAAAAAACACTCCCGACATGGCCCCTTTAAAAACTGTGTGGTGAGGCTTTTTGGCCCTAGCAGGCTGCCGGTGGCCACTTGCCATCTTGCCTCCCTGTGCTGGGCCAGACAGCTCCCCTGTGAAACCCGGTATGCACTAGGGTTGCCAGGCTGCCTCTGTATTGAACCAGACAGCCTGGGATTTTCGCCTCCTGGCCGGGAAAAAAATCAGAAAGTACCGGGCATTTTAGGTGTCCGATATTTTCTGAATTATTTTACCAGACAGGAGGCGAAAATACCGGACTGTTCGGTTCAATACCGGACACCTAGTAACCCTATTAACACGCTACAAAAGCAATTTCCCCTTATTTTGATATTCACATTTACACATCAAAAGCTATGAATGGGACACATCTAGCTTGGCTCAATTAGCTTCATTAACAATGATCCTACAACTGACAGGGAATTTCTTTGGCTGTTACTTATACCCCAAAATCTGTAATTTCCACTCCAACTCATCTTTTGCTGTTTTTTATATATATATATATATATATACTCTAGTTTCTGTAATTTCCATTCAGACTCATCTGATGGAGTGGTTTTTGCCCATGAAAGTGCATGAGCTAATATGTTCGTTAGTCTCTATGGGTACATCTAAACTACATGTCTTCGTCAATGGAGGCATGTAGATTAGTTTACTCGAAAAAGGGAAATGAAGTGGCAATTTAAATAATCGCTGCTTCATTTAAATTTAAATGGCTGCCGCGCTGAGCCGACAAATAGCTGATTAGCTGTTTGTCGGCAGATCGGGGCAGTCTGGACGCGCTGCGGTCGACAAGGAAGCCTTTGTCGATCGGAGCAGGTAAACCTGGTTTCACGAGGCATACCTGCACCGATCGACAAAGGCTCGTCGACCGCGGTGCATCCAGACTGCCCCATCTGCCGACAAACAGCTGATTGGCAGAGTGGGGCAGCCATTTAAATTTAAATGAAGCTGCGATTATTTAAATCGCAGCTTCATTTCCCCCTGCCGATCTGTCTAATCTACATGCCTCTGTCGACGGAGGCGTGTAGTCTAGACACACCCTAAGATGCCAGAGGACTGCTCTCTGCTCTTGATCAGAAACTTTGAGAGGCTGATATCAGCTGGCCAGGAATCCGCTGGCTCAAACCGTGGTGCTCAACCATGTGTGTCTCTGGGCAAGGGTCAGATGACGCAACCGGAGCGAGTGGTTTAGTTCTGTGTCGTCGTTTGCGGATACAGTGGCGTGGAAGGAGAGGGCCCCGGGGTGGCTGTGGGGTGGAGAGTAGCTCACAGCAAAGGTGGAGACCCAGACAGCAGGAGCTCATCTCTGAGCGTCCAGTGAGACTTTCAAGCATGGGTGGCAGGTATGAGAGGCAGAGGAAGGCAATGCCTGGCCGGTCCCACCCATGCTCTGCCCCCAAGCTCTCCCTTTTGGTGTGGCTCCCCCAGTCTCCTGGGGCTGCCTGGGCTTCAGCCCTGCACTGCCAGCCCTCCCCATGCTCTGGGGTTGGGAGCAAGTAGGGACCTGCCTGCTCCCTGGGAGGGCCAAGGCCATATGCTGCCTGCCCTCGCTGTGCTGGGGGGTGGGGTGGGAAAGTCTGGGGCTGCCTGTGCTCTGGAGGGGAGGCCGGGCTTCAAGCTGCCTGTGATGGGAGGGAGACTGGAGCCACCTGTGTTCCGGGGGGCTGCCCAACAGCACATGGGACCATGGGCAACAAGGGTGGGGTCTCCCAGCCCTAAGTTCACCCACCACCTGTGCTTTCCAGACAAAGAAGACGTCAGAAAGGTGGGTGCACCCATTGTCCCCCTGAGATGCGTAGGATGTAAAAGCTGCAGGAAGCTGGTGCCTTTCTCTTGGGTTTCCATAGAGCGCCCAACTCTCACATGTTAGCACTGGTGCTCTTAGTAGGGCATTCCCGGCGTGCAAACACAATCCCCGTGCAATGCAGGGCACGCTCTAGTGGGCAGAGCAAAGTCAAATCCGTGCAATTGCTCTAATGGGTCCTCCCCCCACTCTGTTCGCAGGAAGATGGTGGTGCCGGGGGTCGTGCTGGGGCTGTTGGCTGCCTGTGTCGCTGCTGCTGCGAAGGAATCGGTGCTGAACATCTGCATGGATGCCAAGCACCACAAAACCCGGCCGGGCCCAGAGGGGAAGCTGTATCAGCAGGTACCGCAGTGCTGGCCTGGTGACACGTCAGCCTGGTCCAAACCACCCACGGTTCTGAGAGTTGGTGGGAGGAGAATGACAGAGCCTCTGGACCTACCGGCCCTTGCAGGGCTGGTTCCTTTCTGTTAGAGACTGATGCCTTAGCAGGGGAGACTGGGGGGGACCAATGTGCTACAGGGAAGGTGTTTGCAATGCACCAAGAGTGTTTTCATGGTGCCTGGTTCTACGCGTGGTGCCTGGTTCTACGTCCCTTTCCCATAGGGCAAGCCCAGGCCAACCTTACAGAAGGTACGTTTACCCTTACCATGGGTGACCTTGTATTTTGATTCCTTTGTGTGCTCTCCTCCCCCTTCCCCACTCCCCCGCCTTGCCCCGGGCTCCCACAGGGCTCCACAACCCCATCTCCCTGGTTCCCATGGTTTTTTCTTCATCCCCGCCCCCCTCCGGGCCCTGCTGATGCTTGATTTGTATAGAAAGAGATGCCAAAGCTCAGCCCCAGCTAGCCCGGGTACAAATGAAGCACAGGCTGGGTAGCTGGAGAGCAGCAAAGGCGGGCCGAGCACCCAGCTCCGAAGGCAGGGCCCGGCCAGCAGCAGCACAGTAATAAGGGTGCCCCGGTGGTGTATTGCTACCCTTGCGTTGGTTTCTGCATGCTCTGGAGAACAGAGTAAGGGCAGGAGAGAACTCAGGCAGGCAGAGCGAGAGAGGGACCCACCGTGTGCGAGTGCAGAGAAGCTGAGATGGCAGCTAACGATGTGATTCCAGGCCTCTAAGCAGAGACGTGCGTCTGAAATTATTTGTGAAACACACCACAGCAATAGTCACCAGACTGGAAGGGACCTCGAGAGGTCACTAGTCCTGCCTCCTACCCTCCTGACAGGACTAAGCATTTTAGTGAATGCCCCTTCCTGCCTCACTTCACCCCTAACCTTCCCCTCTGCATCCAGGGCACTTTCCCCGCCTGGGCTGTGTAAGGGGCAGACAGAGTTCCTGACATCTCAGAGCACTGCCCAGCCTGGATACAGGGGGCCCTGGCATGGCACCTCGCTCCCACTCAAACCCATAGGGAGGGTGGGCAGTACCTGTGTGGGCCCCTCCCCGTGCTCCTCTGCCAGAATGAAGCAGGGAGAAATATCTGAGGGGTCTGTTCCATGCATCACTGCTGCCAGTCGGCAGCGCTCCGCTGTCCTTGCCCGGGCAACTCTCCTGCAGGAGCAGTCCCACGATGCACCACTGGAGGCCAGTGATGCTGTTGTGCCCACAGCATCCTATCTGCCCTGCCACCCCCTAAACCCCTGTGGACCTGTCTCTGTTCACAGTGTGCCCTGTGGAAAGACAACGCCTGCTGCACGGCCAACACCAGCACAGAGGCCCACCAGGACCAGTCCTACCTGTACAACTTCAACTGGAACCACTGCGGAGTGATGCCTGCCAAGTGCAAGCAGCACTTCATCCAGGACACGTGTCTGTACGAGTGCTCGCCCAACCTGGGGCCCTGGATCCAGCAGGTCAGGGGTAGGGACTGGGCATTGGGTGGGGGAGAGCTCTGACTTGCTGGGCTGCTCGCGGCTCCCTCTAGCGGCAGGGCCCAGCAGTTTGCTCCTTCAGCTTGAGCTTGGGGGCTGGTGCTCTCGCAGCCGAAGACCCTAGGTTCAATTCTCTGCTAGCAGTCAGTGTCAGGCCATGTCGACAAGAGGGAACTATCATGAAATTACTAAATTCGAATTAATAACTCCCAATTTAACAAATTCAAACCAGCGTGTCCACAGTACGGGGAAGCCCAGAAACTAGTCCGAGGCAGGCTCCGTTAACGCGGACGTGCGACCTTGACGTAGAGCCTCAAGAAGCACGGGGAGTAATTCGTTTGAATTACTCTGGGGAGCAATTATTTCGAAATAGCAGTAGCACGGATGCTCCGGCGCCGCTATTTCGAAATAGCTATTTCGAACGCCGCGTTATTCTTCGAGGAACGCAGGTGTAGAGGTTTAAAAATAAGTGACCCGTTGTTTCGAAATAACGAGCGTGGGACTGTGGACACGCCGCATATAAATTCGGCCTTCGGGGGGTTATTTCGAAATAAAACCCTAGTTAGACTAGGGCTCAGAGGGCTCCGGAGCTTGGGAGGCTGCACTGAGGAATGACTCCTTAGACAGCACCCTTGGGTTCTGCCACCCCCCTGTTGCCAGGGGCTCCAGAGCCTTGCACCAATGCTGGGCTAGGATATCTGGGACTGACGCTGCCTGTTACCCACAGCACAAAATTCTCTGTCAATTCACACGTTCTTGGTGCAGCCACCCTCAGTCTTTCCTAGGTCTCAGGCATCACCTTTCCACTATAGGCACCTACCTTCTCCCTTCTGCAGGCTTAGGTGAAGCCTTACACTCTGTGGGCTTGTGGGACACTCTGTGGGCTTGTGGGATTTTTTACCAGCGAAAGAGTCTTACACAGTAATATCCGACGTACTCTCTAATTATCGGAACCAGAATGAATACAGTGCTCACTGCTCCCAGGGAGACAGATGAACTTGGCTTGATGGCCGGTCGGGATCAGGTCCATCAGGAAGACTCCAGTTTCTGCACAGTCATTGGCACAGGATGGAGGTCTGGCAGCTCTGATCTTGGAGCTGTGTCCTGGAGTTGGTTCCCCAAGAACTTCCTTCTGGGCCAGTTTACATAGTGAAACCTTGAGTCCTGCTTAGCTCTTCCTTAACCAATTATTTTACTGAAATTTTACTAACCAATCGTAACTTCCGGTCACAGAATTACCTAACCAGTCAGACCCCTCAACTGAGTCACACCTAGCAACGTTAAGTACAGTATACAGCAGACAGAAACAATTAAAAACCAGACAGGGATCATACAGACAAACAATAGGAAAGTGAGGACCATAATCACAGAATGAGGATTCCACCACCCCAACAACTGAAACAATTTCTTGCCAGACTAAACATTGTCAAACTAAGTTTTCTTTACCCATCTTGAGATCTGTCTCTTTATCGAGTGCTAGTGGGTGTCATTGGGATGGAATCTTCTTCAGAATAGCCTGGTGTGACACCATTGTAGTGCAGTTTAGATGGAATGTGAGTCTGTGACACCCTGCTTTCCAGTCAATGGCTGCTGTTTTCAGTCTGGCTGCAGAGGAAGGCGTTAGACCTTCCAACCTGTCTATAGGCCTTCCTATATAGCTACAGAAAAAAACATTACCTGAGGCTGTGCAATAAATGCAGCAACTTTTCCCTGGGCACCAAGCTGGGCAGCCTGTCGCCTGGGTGTCCTACATGGGTTGCCTGTCACTCAGGGGTGCTGGGAGGCCCCCTTTCCCTGGGCCTGGCTCTGTTGGGATTCACATTGGCCCCAAGCAGTGGCACTAGAGATGGGGGCCCCCTCCCCCCCCCCCCACCTGCTCCCTGAGCTCCCCCTGATGTCCCAGCCTGGTGCCCTCACAGGCGGACAACAGCTGGCGCCGGGAAAGGATCCTCCACGTGCCGCTGTGCAAGGAGGACTGCGAGCAGTGGTGGGAGGACTGCAAGGACGCCATCACCTGCAAGGAGAACTGGCACAAGGGCTGGAACTGGACCGCAGGTTAGTGAGCGGCCGGGAGCAAACCCACCCCACCCCGTGCTTTGCAGAGCAGAGTGGGGCTGCTGCAGCTGGGGGAGGGGGCAAGGGCTCTTGGCTGGAGGGTGGATCACACCTTGCTGTACAGGTTCAGGTGTTTCTCACTGGAAGTAGGGTTACCAGATGGTTTCAGAAAAAATACCAGGAAAAAAAGGACCCTGAGAGTTAAGGGGGAGGGGGGGGGGGGGCGGGGGGGAGAAATGCGTTGTGAGGCTTTTTGGTCCTAACAGGCTGCCGGCAGCTGCCCGCTATCTTGCCTCCCTGCATGGGGCTGGACAGCTCCCTTGCAGAACCCGGTAAGCACTAGGGTTGCCAGGCTGCTTCAGTATTGAGCCAGACAGCCCGGATTTTCACCTCCTGGCCGGGATTTTTCACCTCCTGGCCGGGAAAAAATCAGAACACACCGGACATTTTAGGTGTCTGGTATTTTCCGAATTTTTTTACCAGACAGGAGGTGAAAATACCGAACTGTCTGGTTCAATATCGGACACCTGGCAACCCTACTGGAAGAGGGGCACATGCTTCTCCCCACGCTTGATGACAGCAGCCCTCAGGCTGGGGCTGGGATCTGGAGACGAGTCCCTGGGTGGGAGTGCCAAAGGCTGTGATGGAGCCGTCTTTGGTGGTAATTTTTAAACCTGAATTGGCTGTTTGTCCTGAAAGCTCTGCACTGGGGACTAGTTGGGGGCAGGGCCTTGGCCTGTGTGCGTGGGAGGTCGCATTAGAGCAGTGTTCCCAATTGGTGTTCCGTCGAACCCCGGGGTTCCGCTAAGCGAAAATAAGGGTTCCGCGAGAGAATTCCGTTACAATAACATGCTGTGATTCTTAAAAAATTAATATTTAAGCATTTGTGAATTTTATTAAACAATTTTCAGTTGTTTGCCACGATAAGGGTCCCTGTGTAATGCCAGCTTAGCCAAGGTGTGGGGGTGATGTCACTACTCAGCGCGGATGTCCATATATTGGACTGTTAGGGGTTCCACAAAATTCTTTTGAGTTTAAAAGGGCCAAATAAAAGTGGGAAACACTGCTTTAGATGATCACCGTGGCTACTCCCGGCCTTGGAATCAGCACAGGCTGAGTTCACAGAAGTTCCCAGGAGAGGCTCAAGGTGCCTTGGCAGAGCTCGGGGGGGGGGGAGCCAGCCCCATCCCCAGCACATCTAGGTGTCTCATTCTGAGTGGCACTAAACTGTCCATCAGACGAAAGCAAGCCCTCCAGTCCAGGGCAAGAACGCAGGCAGCCCCTCTAGGATCAATCCAGGCTGTGAGGGGCGTGGCTACAGCCCTTGCATTTCATCTCGCTGGGGAGGAGAGTTTCTCCCACAGCCAGCTGGGCTGTTGCCAGCTCAGGCAGTAGCCCGCTTGCTCACTGCCACCCTCTCTTCTCCTCCTGCAGGGACCAACCGCTGCCCCCGCGGCTCCATGTGCCAGCCGTTCCGGTACGTCTTCCCCCGGCCGGCCGACCTGTGTGAGAAGATCTGGTCCAACTCCTACAAATACACCCAGGAGCACCGGGGCAGTGGGCGCTGCATCCAGATGTGGTTCGACCCGGCCAACGGGAACCCCAACGTGGCTGTGGCCAAGTACTATGCCCAGAACAGGGCAGATGCCTCTCCTGCACCGTGGGCGGCGCTGCTGCTGCTGCCGCCTGCTCTCCTGGCTCTGTTCTGAGCAACCCAAAGCTGCTGGTCCTCCGCTTCCGAGGGATGGAGCTTGACTGAAAGGAAGCTAGCTCTGGACTCTGGCAGCCTATACAGGGGGCATTTCTGCTCTAGAGACGGGAGAATTTTCCTGTCGCGAGAATCACAGGTCCGATGATGAATACCCAAGGGGGGGAAGGACAGAACCATGTGGACAGTTTTATCAAATAAAAAATATTTATTTATGACAGTGGTGAATTTATAGTATTATTCTAAGATTTTTAATAGACCGTGTTAATAATGAATTTACAGTATTTATGATATTCTATGGTTTCTAGTAATACGTGTCAGATATAGGGATGGGACTGGCAAGGGGAATAGTCTCTAATCTTAAAATATCCAGCTACAGTAATAAAATAAGTGATAACTACAAACTCTTATGCACTACCCACAAACAACTACAACACTAAGCTTATACAACAAGAAAAAATCAAATCATACATACCAACTTACACAGCACACGGAACATTTCACAGATATCGGTTCGGTTGCGAAGGCCTTGGTTACGCCCGAGAGTCGGGGGAGGTGGCTGGTCGGTTGATCAGGCCGGCAGCGCTTTGAAGTATACGAGAAGGCACACGCACGGTGGTACGTGTGTTGCGAAGACCTCTTAGAGCAAACTGTGCCATGGGTATTTATCCCCAAATCTGCACATCGCTTTCCCGCGCTTGCATATTACCATATATGGCCCAATGGTCACCAAGTGGGGGGTCTGTGTCCCAGGGGTTGGGCCGAAACTGTGCAGGTTTCATGCGACCAGGTAAGCCCGGCAGTTCTCACGCCCAGGTGACGGGTGGGAGAGTCTGAGGCTATTTTCCCCTTTTCACACCTTTCCTTTTTTCTAAAGGCAATGGTATGCAGGAAGGGTGCGGCTGGTTTCTCTCAAGGAGTACTGCAGCCCACTATAACAAGAGCGGCCTGGCCAAACTTTTTTTTACTGGGGGGGCAGTTTCTTTTCTCTAACAGTTCCTAACCCGGACAAGAGGCTATAGAGCCAGCTTAGCCCTCATTCTCTCCTGCCCTTAAACGTCTCTCCCTGGGTTTATGGTCTGGGCTCTCCTGCCATGCTCCTCTCCTCCAGCAGGCTCTGTGGGGACTTGCCCTCTGTCCCTGGGGAGCTGAGCTTGGGAACATGCAGGGACCCATTGGCTGGTGCACTTCCTGTCTGGGGGACCGGAGCAGGGCAGATACCCTCGAACTCTGGAGCCTTCAACCCCCTGGGTGCCAGGGCCCCTCAGCCCTCTGACGGGATGGCAGAGGCGGGGAACCCCCAAAGGGAAGAGAGCAAATACTGGGGGCTAGTTGGGGGAGGGCAGACTGTGTAGGGTGCAGGTAACGGGGGGAAGATTTGCAAGGAGAACAAGGGTATTGGATCCTCTTGGCCAGCTGTACTGTCTCTCCAGGCTACGTCCTATTTGGATCCCTGTGTTCCCTGGAAAGATGGGTGACTCCTCCCTTTCCCTTCCCCAGCTCTTAGCCTACCCTGGGACCATCCTCTCTGTGGTTTTGGGAGTAGAGGGAGGGACTTGAGTTGTTGGGGGAGGAGTCCCCTGTGAGCACTGAGCCATCGCCAGCCTGCTCCTCTCACCCCTAGCTGCTGGGTTCTGCTGACAGGAGGCGGGAGATACCCCACTAGGGCTGCTGGTCCAATTCCTCTTTGGTCTGAGCTTCCCCCATCCCTGTGCCTGGCTCCCCGAGGGGGTCTCAGTTCCCTGCCCCCGCACTGGCAGCAGACTCATTGGAAGTTCTGCCCAGCATGGCCGTGATGCTGAGGGCGTTCGCTTTTGACAGCCCTTGGGCTGTGGAGCCAGACTCTCTGCACCCCATGGCGATTGACTGGACTCTGAGCCGCACAGGATAGCTGCTAATGCTTCCAGCACTGGCTGCAGACACAGGCGACCTCCTACTGTCCAGAGCAAACGCAAAAGCCGTCCTGGTCCCTGCTGGCCAGCCGCAACACCACAGTGCCAGCCAGACTCCCCAGGGACCACAATGGCGACTTGCTGGAAATCTGAGCCCCTGGATGCTTGTGCCTGCGATTCTGGGAAAATAAACTCTCCCAGCCCTGCTGTCTGTGCTCGTCTCTTCCTTGACACAGCTGGCTTGGCGCTGGTCACCTCTGTACTAATCGGAGCAAGAGTGGGCAGCTGGGTGGGGCCAGTGCAGCATGGGTTCAAACACTGCCCATAACTACTAGCAGGGATCACCAGCATGAATCTGCTTAGCCTGGGATTCCCTGGAAACCAGCCTTTGCATGCTTTGGCTTCAGGGAGGTTTTAGATCCGTGTCTGGTGGATGCTGATGACTGGAGGACCCTCTCCTGTCTAGGGGCAGAAATAAATGCACCAATATCTGTCCTGGACCATGCATGTGGAACCCACACACCAAGGCTACGTCTACACTGTTTGTTTTTTTGGAAGAGGAAATGCAAATGAAGTGCTCATTTGCAAATCTTGTGCTCTCATTTGCATATTCTCTTCTGATCCTTTTTGCAGAAGAGGTTTGTGCGGAAAAACCCCCTGCAGTGTAGACAGGGCCATTTGTTGGAAAAAAACCCCTTTTGTGCAAGATCCCTTGTTCCTCAAAAAATGAGATTTACAGGATCTTGCACAAAAGGTTTTTCTTCCGACAAATGGCTCCGTCTACATAGGGTTGCCAGATGGTTTAACAAAAAATACTGAACCCTCCCCCCCACCCCCTCCAAAAAATAACCAGGAAAAAAACAGCATGGCCCCTTTAAGAAATGCTTTGCTTTTTTAGGCTTTTGGTCCTAACAAGCTGCCAGCCAGACAGCTCTCCTGCAGAACCTGGTGAGCACCCAGGATTTCACCTCCTGGCTAGGAAAAAAAACTCAGAAAATACTGGACAGTTTAGGTGTCTGGTATTTTCTGAATTTTTTTTTTACCAGACAGGAAGCAAAAATACTGGACTGTCCAGTTCAATACTGGACACCTAACCACCCTATGTCTACACTGCAGTTTTTTTCACCAAAATTCTCCTGCAGAACCTGGTGAGCACCCAGGATTTCACCTCCTGGCTAGGAAAAAAAACTCAGAAAATACTGGACAGTTTAGGTGTCTGGTATTTTCTGAATTTTTTTTTTACCAGACAGGAAGCAAAAATACTGGACTGTCCAGTTCAATACTGGACACCTAACCACCCTATGTCTACACTGCAGTTTTTTTCACCAAAATC